ACTTTGAGTCTAACACAGTAAAATGGTTAAATGGCTTTAACTGATTTTTAGTCATGTGGAAGATGCGTGCTTGAAGCTGACCACCATCAGCTGACTTACATAGGGCACACAAAGGTGGCTTAAGGATGTCCTCCATGTAGATACCATGTCTTCAAAAAGTTAAAAGATGATTTAACACATCTAGGGGGTGGGGCATAGGGAATGCTGAATGCTGCCTGCTGGGTAATTTGTGAGTACACATTTCAGAGAAACTGAGTAAAAGTTGTTATGTGGGGGGAAAGACATTGAGTTGGACCAAGACTGGGTCTTGTTTTCTAGAGAGAGTGGACAGAGCTACAGAACCCTGAGGTACAAAGACCCACAGAGATGACTAAGATCGCCTCCTGGTTTTCTAGGCCAAATGGAGTCCATAAATGGTGGATGGAGCCAGGGCATTCTGAGCACTTAAAAAGACAGAGAAGCAAAACCAGGACTTAAATATAATAAGAGGATTACAGTGGATCAAATGGAAACAGAGAAGAGAAATGTGAGAAGCTGTCCCCTAAGCCAGTGTCTAGACTAGATAATGTCTTCCTTCTCCCTCGAAGGTCGCAGACATCGCTTCGGTTGTAGTCCTTCCTTCCACACCTCTGAGGCAAGCCCTAGGTCCTGGAGCAGGGATTTGCTTACAGGGCAAAGAAAAGGTCTCTTCTGAATGGGCATTTGCAGGGGGCATTTTTTCTACTTTTTCTTATGGCACTGTAATGGGGCAGGCAGAGGTGAAATAAGAAACCGGAAGAAGCGTTAGGTGAGTGTGATAGGATTCATCAGTACTACTTGGCTAAGCAGGGTTCTTCAGCGTTAGACTGCCCCGCAGCACTCTGTTAACTATGGCTTCAGCTGCACAGAATTTCACCATGCTTCATCTTGACCCCCTGCTTGAAGCCATCTCTTTGCAGGAATGACAATTCCAGGCAGATATTTTGAAGATGAAAATCTGGCCATGCCCTTCCTTCCTTATGACCCTCTTCATCATCCATCTGTGAATTAACTAATCCTTTCTCACACAGTAGGCTCCAGGCGGACGGTGGTGGCTAGCACGTTTGTTTTTTTTTAAAGATTTTATTTCTTTATTACATATACAGTGTTCTACCTACATACTGGAATAGGGTACCAAATTGAATTGTAGATGGTTGTGAACCATCATGTGGTTGCTGGGAATTGAACTCAGGACCTCTGGAAGAGCAGTCAGTACTCTTAACCTCTGAGCCATCTCTCCAGCCCCTAGCACGTTTAATTCCAGTGCTTGGGAGGCAGAGGCAGGGGAAGCTCTGCAAGTTCGAGGCCAGCCTGGTCTACAAAGCCAGTTCCAGGACTATTACACAGAGAAGCCCTGTCTCAGGGGGAAAAATATGCTCCAAGTTAGCAACTGACTAGGAAAGACAGCCACAAGAATGTTTGTGGCAATTTAATTTATAATATTAAAAATTCAGAAACAGGCTCAGTAGTTAAGAGAGCACTGACTGCTCTTCCAGAGGACCCAGGTTCAACCCCCAGCACCCACGTGATGGCTCACAACTGTCTGTAACTCAGTGCCAAGGATCTGACACATTCTTCTGGCCTCCAGGGGTTCTGCACAACTGTGGTACACAGACACACATGCAGGCCAAACACCCTGCTTTATCTACATGCTGGAATACTCTGTACCCACGTGAACTGATAAGAATCCAGTCTGTTCTGAGACACAAGTGTGTGTGTATGAAGATTCAGTAAAAAGACTCCAAGTGCATCTTAGTGTCAGCTGGAACAAATTGTGGATATACACAGTGACCAGTAGCAAAAAATGACCAAGTGTTTGATACTGAGTGTGAGTAAGAATTTAGAGAGGGAAAATTATGTCACCTCCTCTGGGGGCATTCACCTGGTACCGGGAATGATTTTAAGAGAAAAGCAGTGATTACAGATAAAAGTCACGTGATTTCAGTGCATCCTGTGGACAAAGGACAGGGTGCCAGTTTACTGTGAAGGTGTCCGTGAGAGCAGGGGAGGGGCGTGAGACCCACTGTGGCTTAGTATGCTCACATGCTCACACCCACCCCTGATCACAGCAGTTCAAACTAGTGAGACAGCAGACAGGAAGAGAACAGAGCTGTTAAAGGAGAGGGGAAAACAGCCAGACTTGTCAAGAATACCAATGTGTGATGTCAAATTCACCACACTTGGGGTTTCGAAGAGGCCCCATGACCCATATACATTTCTCTCCTCCTCATCGGTAATGTTTGTGGTCAAAGGCTTTGCTTCTGATCTCGGCTTGTTCCTGCGTTGTACGAGGGAGTGAACTGAGGGTTTCATACCTGTGAGGCAAACATCTTACACTGAGTCGTGTCCCTATAGCCTTCCTATTGCTTTCTGATTTTAAGACAGGATTGTCTGTGTTGGCACAACATAGTAGTCCAAGCGGGTTTTGAACTTGAGTTCCTCTTGCCTCCGCGCCCTGAGTAGCTATTAAATACGCACAAGTCATTCAAGCACTTTGGTAACTACTCACCTGTGTTTAATCTTTTATGGTTGTTTTTTGTTTTATTTGGTTGGTTGGTTTTCTGAGACAGGATTTCTCTGTGTAGCCTTGGCAGTCCTGGAACTTGTTTTGTATACCAGGCTGGCCTCGAACTCTCAGAGATCTGCCAACCTCTGCCTCCCTAGTGCTGGGATTAAAGGTGTACGTCACCGCCACATAGCTCTTACGGATTTTGTTGTTTCTTTTTAAAGGTCTTCTCCCCCAACTTATCTAAATCTAAGGATATTTGCCTCTTGTTTCTGTTTGTGGCCAGTAGTACCACTAACTGACTCCTGAGAGCTTCTGTAGGTTTCCTGCCTTTGGAAGTCTGCAACCTCAATCCTGTCTTATCCTGGGTTGACCAGGCTCTTAAGAAAACTGGCTCATGTATCCCTACTCATGCATAATCAGAAAGCCACTTTACTCGTCTGCAGGGAGAACCACCAGCCAGTGGGGTGGTATTTATATTGGCCCATTTGTGAGTTCTCTTCCCCCCAAGGAAACCAAGCATAAATTAGAAATTGCTGGTATAGGAAAGTGGTCTTGATTCTTATTTATACATTCACTTCTCCAGAGCTCCTGGCCTCTCCCTCAGTGTCTACTGCTATAAAGAAAGAGCTGACTCACTTCTCACTATTCTATGAATTCTCTTCTACCTGTGAGCCTTCGGGAAAATTTTAGTCTTGATGCCTGCCAGGATACCATAATCTTGTATTCCAATAGTTGCTCATGAATTTGTTTCTGCCACAGTTTCAGGAACTGAGAAAATGACTCTTATCTGCTTTTGTTCCCTCAAGGCCTATCATATAAAACACTAAATAGAGGGTTTCTCCACTCGTTTGAAAATTGTTTTGCCAAGTGTGGTAACATATGACTTTAATCCCAGCACTCAGGAGGCAAAAGGGCAGAAGATCTTTGTGAGTTCAAGGTCAGCAAGGGCTCAAAACAAAAAGAAAATAATAAAATAAAAAGAACAACAAGTGCTCTGAGCCACCAGCCATGTCTCCGGCCACTACTGTAAAATGTCACCCAGATGTACCTGCTTGTCTGTGTTTGCAGGCATCACCTTGGACACTGTGTCTCCTCGTGTATCCCTAACACTGCCTGTCTGTTTTAGCAAATAGTTTGACCTTCTTTTCAAGCGTATTGATTTGGATGTTCCTATGACCCATTTAGTCATCTTCTTGGCTCCACCCTGCTCATCCAATGCTTTAAATCCTTATTGCTCTGCATATAAAGCCAGCAATGTGGACGTACCTGGCATTTGTTAGAAACATAGAACTTCAGACTCCCTGGGGCCAGCAAACCCAAATCTGCCTTCTAATAAGAAGCCTGAGTTGTCTGGATCATATTGGAGAAGCTCAGCCTTAAAAGCCTAGCAATACCCACTGTCCTAACTCATGGCCTCCGCACTTCTTCATCTCCTATGGTTCTTTTTTTTTTTTTTTTTTTTTTTTTGGTTTTTCAAGACAGGGTTTCTCTGTAACTTTGGAGGCTGTCCTGGAACTCGCTTGGTAGTCCAGGCTGGTCTCGAACCCACAGAGATCCGCCTGCCTCTGCCTCCCGAGTGCTGGGATTAAAGGCGTGCGTGCGCCACCAACGCCCGGCCTCCTATGGTTCTTAAGATGCCCTTCTCCGTTGTATTAGTCGTCTGTGACTGTGTCTAAACTCACCATAACTTACAGGGCTGGAGAGATGACTCAGCAGTTAAGAGCACAGGGTCCTTCTACAGAACCAGTTTCCATTCCCAGCCCCCACGTAGTAGCTGACAATTGTCTGTTCTTCCTGCTATAGGGAATCAGGTGCCCTCAGGCATACTTGCGGTGCTCAGATACGCAGACATACAGATGAATCCCCTATACTTCTAAGATAAAAACAAATCTTAAAAATTATTAACTGTAACTTAATTGTGTAAAACAAACTTTCACTGGTCTTAGAGTTTTTGTGAGTGGAGAATCTGGGTAAGACTTATCTAAGCCCAGGGTCCCTTACAAAGTGACCCAAGGCTCTGCTGGTACATCTGCTGGGTGTTGGAAGAATCAAGTCCTTGTGGCTGTTGGAGAGCCTGGATTCCATAGTATTGTTGGCCCCAGGCATCCCTTAAATCCTTGCCTGGGGGGTCTCCCCATTGTTCAGTTCACAGCATGGCAGCTGGCTTCAATAAACAAGCAAGAAAGCAGAGGAAAGAGAAAGCAGGTAACCTAGAAACAAGAGTCTTTTACAGCCATCCTTTCTGTTGGATTGGATTGTTAGAAGTCATGGGCTGGGCATAGTAGTGCCTTTAATCACAGTACTCAGGAGGCAGAGGCAGACAGATCACTGTGAGTTTGGGGCTAGCCTGGTATACACTTCGAGTTCCAGGACAGCCAGGGCCATGTGCACTTGCGCGCGCACACGCGCACACTCACACACACACACACACAAACACTCCCCCACTCCCTTCTCTCTCTTTTTTTTTTTCACGTTTTTGAGTGTTTATTATGCAAAGATCTGAATTCGGAGACAGAGAAGAAACATGCTGTATCTACGTATTTTTGAAAACTCCCCCCAACGGAGAGGAACCCAGTGTCAGTTTCCAGCGGGTGGGACGTTCTCATGGAGGCACTGCAAGGCCAGGTCTGTCCACTTCATCTCCTGTTCTTTCACAGACTCTGTGGTGCCGCCGTTGTCCTGCTCAGGCTCTGGAAGCTCACTCAGTGGGATGGCAACATCCTGGTATGGCAGCTTGTCTTCCCGCCAAGCGTCATCAATCAAATCCAGGATCCTTCCATCCCGTTGTACCTCACTGTCCATTTTCCTGCAGCTTTGTTCTCCTCAGTTCCACAGCACGGGAATCGGCTTCCTCCCGGCCCCGCCCGGTCTCCTGCCACTCCCTTCTCTTTTATATTGAATTGTTTCTTGTGTTGTATCATCAAACATCACCTGCGTTTTGGGAACTATTGTGAGACTTACAAAGGGGGATTTCCCTCCAGAGTTGACAGCTTGGTTAGAATGTGCTTCCGGAACTGTGTATTTCACACGACACCACATTTCCTGTACACTCCTTCTCACTGGTGTTCAGTAACACTAAGATAGGTGACTGAATTGAAGAGCCAACAGCCAGATTTCTCCTTTAAGCTACAATTGCTTTTGTTCCTGATGCTGAGGCAGGATTGATGAACTCAAGCTTGAGGCTACCCTGAGTTATTTACTAAAATAGCAGGCTAGTCAAGGCTATATAGCAAGACTTTGTCTCCTCTTGTAACCAGCACACAATAAATACATAGGGTGACACTCTGGTATCATGGGATATCAGGAAATTCTTTAAAGACAACCAAGCTATATACCCAAGTCGTGACTTCCTCTGCTTGCTAGACCAAAACTCTCCTAAGGAAGGTCACCACTGACTTCCTTGTCACCAAAATCAAGTTTCTGTCCATCCTTCTGAACTTCTGGAACAGTTTTGTAACCTCTCTCTTTTAGAATTTTCTCCCCCCTTCTATATATACATATGTTTATACATACATACATACATATATATATATATATTAATTTCAAGGTCTCCTACTTCACTTAGCTATGTCTTCACATCCTTCTTGAATGTTTCTCTTTAACAGATTCCTGAGAAATACAAAGTTCTCTGCTTGGTTTCAACTTGGACTCTACATTGCCCACACTAGTGATCTCATACAGCTCAAGTAGATCAGACAAGCAAATGTGCATTCTAGTTTGACCTGTTGTGACATGTCCACCAGAAGAGCCACTGGCCATAGCTTATGTAGAACTAGCATAAACATTGTCATCTTTCCCCAAAATGACTTTTCTGTCATTTCTTTTTATTACATTTTTAATTAATGTGTGTGAATATGTGTGAGTATATGCGTATGTGTGTATGTGTGTATGAGTGTGTGTGTATATGTGTGTATGTGTGTGTGTGTGTGAGTGGGAGAGTGTGTGTACGTGTGTGTATTGAGGCCATGTAGAGATCAAAGGAAAACTTGCAGAAATTAGTTCTCTCTTTCCACCATGTGGGCTTTAAAGATCAAATTTAGGTCATCAGGCTTGGCAGTGGTTTAACCCTAATAGGCCATTTGGCAGAGCCCAAGACTGCTTTTCTTGATTCTGTCATAGTGGCAGTAATATTTTCCTAGTTGTTTAAATTCAAAATCAGAACATAGCATCCTCTTTGCCTACATTTCTTTCTTATTCCCTCTATCAGACTATTTCCAAATATATACTTTACATTTCATTTTAGTGAACTGATTTTTAATTTTTTTTATTTTATTTTTTGTTTTTGGTTTTTACAAGACAGGGTTTCTCTGTATTGTTTTGGAGGCTGTCGGTCTAGCCCAGCCTTGAACTCGCAGAGATCCGCCTGCCTCTGCTTCCCAAGTGCTGGGATTAAAGGCGCGCGCCACCAACGCCTGGCGTGAACTGATTTTTAAAATGGGATAAATGGCAATGATTTCTCCAAGTCTATCTTAAAATAAATAATGAAAAATTAGCAATCATATTTTCCCAACTTTGTTTACTCAAGATCATTTTCATCTCCTGTGGTTTCTTCAATTTACTTAAACATTTTCTCTTTTTAAAACCTAAAGTATTTTCTAGCCTTTATTGATTTTTTTTAAAACTTATGTGTATGAGTATTGTGCCTGCATGTATATGTGTGAACCACATTGGTACCTAGTATCTGCAGAAGTCAGAAGATGGCCTCAGATCCTTTGGAACTGGAGCTAGAGATGGTTACACGTCACCATGCGGTTGCTGGAAACTGAACCAGAGTCCTCTGGAAGAGCAGCCAGTGCTCTTAACCACTGAGCCACTTCTCTAACCCTGCCTCTACAGTTAAACTTTATTTTTACTTATTGTCCACTGACTGATCATCAGGGTTTGCTCTTTCCAGCCACACATGTATAACTGCCTTTTCTACTTTGGTTGACTGTATGTCAGAGATCTATGGCTACTCTCTTAGCCTGCCCAGTAGAGCTAGGAAGCATTCTCCATTCAAGAACTAATCAAATATTGTCAACTGTTGAGACACATAACACGGTATGATAACATTTTATTTTTTATAAAAATACTTCAGTAAGTTGTCTTTTCTCTTTGTTTTCTGTGTACCTGTCACAATTTATCTTTTTCCCTCCCCAGAGCTCTCTATAACTAAATACATCACATACTCTGAGTCATGTCCTCCATCCTTCCTGATAAAAGTATTGGGGGTAATGGAGGCCTCCGTTTGTTCTCTACAGCTAACCATTCGGGACTCTTGCTGTTTTCTTATTTCCTTTGTGAGAGTCCTCTTTTCTTGATTCTGTGTGGGTTCATTCTTGGTTTCTCCATTGTTTTGTAAAATTCTGTCTCTCATAGCTCCCAAGTTAGAACGGTTCCCTTGCAGCGGGTTTTTGAAAGCTTGCTTATCTGAAATGTTTTTATTCCACGCTTACTCATAATTGGCAGCTTCTATAGAATTCGAGATCAGAAATGCATTTTTAAAAATATTTGTTTGACATTTATTTACTTATGTTGTGTGTCCATTGCCATACCAGACAGGGTCATTGATTGTTCCGGAACTCAACAATTAGGCTGCACTGGTTGGTAAGTGAATCCCAGGGTCTCTCCTGCCTCTGCCTCCCACCACTGGTATTAAGCATGTGCCACCACACTCAGCATTTTAATGTAGGTTCTAGAGACAGAACTTACTTCTTCATGCTTTGGGGCGAGCACCTTATTGACTGAGCTATTTCTCTAGCTCAGTCTACTTTAGAGAAAGTGAATTTTTTAAAAATTATGTGCGTGTGGAGAGGGCATGTGCACATGAGTGCAGGTTCCTGTGGGAGCCTGAAAAGAGAAGCCAGATCCCCCAGGGTTGAAGTCACAGGTGTTTGTGAATGACCAGACTTGGATGCGGACAAACTTGGGTCCCCTAAAAGAGTAATGTGTGCTCAGCCAGTTATGGTGGCACAAGCTTTTAGTCCTAGCATTCAGGATCCAGATATTTTTGGCAATGGAAACAAAATAGAGTCAAGTGATTAATTATGAGTTATCAAATTTACTCTTTTCTTTCTTTCTTTTTTTCCTTTCTGAAGTGACACTCCTTCCCTCTCCTACCTTAATTCATATGAACGCCATCTCCCTCTTGGAGCTGAGCACGATCCTTTCTTCCATGGGACCTAAGATCTTACCTGGTCAATGAAATGGCTGGCCATGAATTGAGGGAGTAAAGGCTGAACAGCCTACAGGAAAATGCACTGTAGCATACATGCTCAGTAGAACTCCCCTTCCCCCCCAGGTGATAGCGGGTGCCCATTTGGCTTGTTTTGGAACTGAACCCACCTGGTGAGGGTTCCTTCCATATTGTCAATCAAGAGGAGCTGGATTCAAACCCAACCCTCAGCCCTGCTGTTTTCTTGTTTGATCCTGAGAAGTGAGTCTCACTGGTTCCCTGCTCTTGGGTCATTCAGGTGACCTTGTCCTTTAGCTTCCAGGAGGTTTCAGAGGGTTTCATTGTGTTGGGCAAAAGTTGGTTCATTTTCATTATATACATGTCCCAAGTTCATGTATTTATTATGCTTTTGATGAACATTTAAATTTCCAGTTAGGGACTATTATTGACGCTATGAACATTTTTGTCAGAAGGATGCTGTGGCCAATTCCAACTGATACTGACTGATTTAGATGTATGACTTTAACTGCCAGGAGGATGAGTCTGAGTACTTACAGGTTTCAGTATTACAGTCTCCCACGTGTGCCAGCATTATGAGACTTATAGCTCCTTGATATCTCTTCAGTATTAAGAATTTCTAGATCTCATTTTGTATTCCTATCATTAGTGATATGAATCCCTTTTCTTAGGCTATTGAGTATGTGTCTCACCTATAATTCATAGCATTGGCTAATTATTTTGATCTCCCCACTTCCCTGCACTGGAGAGCAAATCCAGGATTTGATGTATCCTAGGCAAGCATCCTACCACTGAGCTATATCCCAACCCTTTTGTTTCCTTTTGACATGAAGCACTTCATATATTCTGGAAATTATATTTGGTTAATTATATTGAATTTTTTGACAAATGTCTTTTGAGCATTTACCAGTCTCAGAAGAAACAATAATGTAGTAAATAAAGAAAAAAACTATTTGAAATTCATGAAGCATTTTATATTCTAGCACAGGCATGGAAACAATAAGCAGTTTATTATATATGAAATTTTATGTGTGATAAATTTTACTCTGTGATAAGTGCTATAGAGGGGGATTGTAGGGATGAAGGATTGCCAGGCTGGGGCAATTTATAATAGTGGCCAGGAAGGCCTCACTGTCAAGAAGGCGGTAGGTAAAACCCTTAAGATCAGAAAGCAGGCCAAAGAGATGAGTGGTGGAATCACACCTTAGGGGCAGGCAGATCAGGGGGCCCAGGTGGGTCATTGTTGGATATACAGCAAGTTTAAGGCTAAACCTGGGCTCAAGAAAAAGAAAGAGAGAGGAAGAGAGAGAGGAAGAGAGAGAGAGGAAAAGAGAGAGAACCAATAAACAAAACAATGGCAGCAACAGCAAACATCTTAAGCTGACAAACACAAGGCCCTGAAGTGACAGCATACATGGGATGTGTAAGGAGCAGCGAAGATGCCGCTGGGGCCTGAGCTGAGTGGGGACACTGAGTCATACATAACAAATGAGATGGAGCAGTGAGGTGAGCGCGTGCGCAGAATGAAAAGTGCCGTGAAGCAGGCCATCACAACTGCTCTTCTCCCCTTAGTGTGGTGAAGTGGGCAGCTTTGTGAAGACAGGAAAGTCTGAGGAATGAGAGGCGCAATATCATTCCTTTTCAAGAAGCCTGCGAGGAGGGGCAAACAGGAGCAAACAGAATAACCCAG